TCCAAGATTCCTTCTAAAATTCTAGACCTAGTGACAAGAAGCCCACCACTATTCTGAGTGATTAATGCCTAGGTTTAACTGGTGTAACTAGGTTTTCCTTTAATGTTTAGTCAGAATCTTTTTTTTTTCTTTATTATGCCTCCTGTTGAATAATAGAGATCTTGTTCCCTCTGTTTGACATAGTATAAGATATTTAAACTTTGCTCTTGCTTCCTCAAGCTAAATGATCCTAATTCCTTCCATAAGTCCTCAGAGGATTTTATAGGCATCTAATCATCCTTGCTGTTCTTCTCTGAGTACAGTCTAATTTCTCTGCTTTTTAAACCATGATGTCCAGAATTGGTCACAATATTCCATGTGGTCACTGACTAGTATATTGTAAAGTAAAATTCTCAATTCCAGTAATGTAACACCATGCCTTTGATGTTGCAGCCTAAAGATTGCATTTACTTTTTTTTGCAGGCATATAACACCATTCATGTTCTGTTCGTAATCTACTATTTAATATCTTTTTTATGAGTATGTTGTTGAGCCAAGCCATCCAGCACTTGCAGATTTGATTTTTATTTAAGCATAGAATTTCCCATTTCATAGTTTATAGAAATGGGCTCATAATAAAATTATCAAGATCATTTTGAATTTTATTTCTGTCTTTTGATGCCTGATCAACTTTTTGTCATCTGCATTCTTAATGAAGAATGGGGGCTTTTATGCCTTACTTAATATCTTATTCCATTTTAACAAGAAACCACTTAAGAGCTCTTTTTGAGTAGAATTTCAAGCTAGCATTTTACTATCAAATGTTATGATAAGGTTAATTAGCTGGCTAATTAAAATGCCATAGGGTACCTTGTTAATTGCTGTGCTGGAATCAAATTACATCTGGAGCATTTGAACAATGTACATTGTTATTTTAAAAAATGAAATAAATTCAGTCTGGCATTACGTCTGATTAACAATTGTATTTACAGTGGCTTGGAGATTCACTTTATGCTCTAAAACGGGTTTCAAACTCGCAACGTCACGTGATGTGTCGCGACGTATCACAACTTTTTTGCCACTGCCGGCAATGGGATGGGTGCAGTTTTGCTATGATGCATCCAGCCCATAGGCCAGCAGTTTGACACCCCTGCTCTAAAATATTTCTAAGCACTGACATCAGACTGACTGATTTGAAGTTTCCTGGATCATCCATCTTCCCCCCTCCATCTCTGTTTACTGACAGAACAACATTTGTCCTATAGTTCTGTAGATTTTTACCATTCTCCAGAATTTCTCAAAAAAGACTTAAAACTTAAGCCAGACCATAGTAAGTTCCTTCAGTGCTGTAGGATGGCCCTCAAGATTTAAACACATTTCTTTTCTGATTAACATTTCTGGCAGCCTCTGGTTGGTTTTCCATAGTTACCTGGAAAAAACAAGTCCTATTAGAGAAGAATGAAGCAGAATAGAACCAAGCAATGCTGTTATTATTTTGTGATCTATTTCAGCTGATGGATGCTTTTCTATTTAACATTACAAGCTCTCAAAAGAATCTGCCCTATGAACCAAATACTGTATTCGTCACCTGACTTGGCTATAAAGACAAACTCATACAGCAAATATTGTACCACAAAGGCCAAGCAAAATATCACCATAGAGCTAGAAATACTTTGTTTGCTTTAGCATTTGCCATTTGCTCTTTATCTCTCTTGCTCTTGTTCTCTTCTAGCTGCTGCAACCTACTCAAGGCCTCGGCTGGATACTTTCTTATACTACGCCAAAGTTGAGCTGGTCCCTCCAACTCCCGCTGAAATTCCTAAGGCCATTGAGAGCCTGAAAACATTGCTGAAGAGCTACCAGACTGGGCGCTTTGCACAGCTTACAGTCAAGGTAAGTATGTGCCAGCAGTTGTAGCTTACAGAAGCTTTGTTGGGAATAGCTGCTTTCAGACTCCTCCTGAGATTTCCTGAGAGGCTACCTTAGCTCTGTTCCTGCAGTGTCTAAAATTAATTCCAGCAAATCCCTTCATAGAGCTAGAGAAAATGGAAAGTTTTTTGGGGTTGGGGGGTGGGAAGGATGTCAGAAGTTGAAGCATGAGGTAGTTTTCCATCCCATGGAGGAGATAATGGGATCAATGAGTCTTCTGGAAGAGTGGCTATATTAATTTGAATAAAATCTAAATATCTCGTAACAATTTAAATGTAATTTACAATGACTGAGTAATAAGGTATTAGAAGACCTCTTGGTGTTGTTTCTATTTCACTGGAACTATCTGGGAAATGGGTGAGACAATTGCTACCACAGCAACAATCATTTTTTTAAAAAAACCTTTTTATTTCCTTTTAGGAAGCTCTGAGGAATGGTTTGGTGGCTACTGAAGTACTGATGTGGTTTTACATTGGTGAAATCGTAGGCAAACGTGGCCTGATTGGATATAATGTCTGAAGAAGTTTCTTCTTTTGATTCCTAGTAGTGTCTTGATAACATTAAATTATGACACTGAGATTAAACTGTGTCTGTAAGTCATGTTTACATTGTGGCAGAGCCAGATGGTTACAGAATCATAGAATGTAAGGGTTGGACAGCGTCTAGTTCAACCCCTCTTGGTAGAGGAATCCATGATTGCAACATTTCTCAGAGAAGGTCGCCCAGACTGATGATGGCCTCAGAACTGACAGCCAACCTTCAAACCTTTTTTTCTTATTCTCCCCCTCCTCATGCCTCCTTCCATAAATGCCTTGAAGAAACTATACAGCTGCCAGAAATGAATGAGGAGAGAGACAGACAGATTAGACTTGGTAGGTTCCTGTTGTACCAGGAAATGATAAGTAGGTAGAATTAACCCTAAAACTTCAGTAGCAGTTGTATAGGAGAAATAGTCAAGAATAACTTTTGTTTGTTTTTCTCAAAGATAGTATTTAATGTACTCTCAAAGCTGACACCAGCCAGAGCATAGAACTCAAGTAGTGCAAGATTGGAAGACATGACTTGGCCCATAGAATTGCCAAGATCCAGACACGACTGAATGGATAACATCATCGCTGTTTAATGGTAGAAAATGATCTTAGTTTCTGTTTTCAATTGTAGCTTCACCATTTGTTCAGATACTTTTAACTTTGTAGAGGTTAGTTGAGCTTCATACATTTATAATGCCACATCCAAAAACCGTTCAAGTATTCCTCACCTATCTCCCTCCCTAGAGTCAGAGGAAGTGCAGAATATTAAAGCTGCTTTTTCTCCTGAGATGTTATAGGAAACAGTTTTGGGTGATAAAAGGAAGAATGGATTTGGCTTTAATGGATTTGAAATTTTTTTTTTTTTTTTTTTTTTTTTGCCACTGTGTAAACTGCTGCTGACAACAGTTAGAAAGCTGATCTTTCTTTTCAGCCAAAAGCACCTACTGTCCATATTCCTTTCCTCTTATACAAAACAGCGGGAAAGATTTGTCCATCTGTCCATTATGTGAAATCCTAACATATTGCACGTTGAACCACTTTTCCATGCCCACAAAAGAATTACTTCAGTAAGGTTTGCTAATATTGTGAGGCTTTCACAAGTGTGACTGCTAACTTAACAAGGGTAGCTTTTAGATTTAATTCCACCCCCGTGGAAACGGTATCACCTTTATTATACTCAATTTCTTATTAACAGGGGTTTTATTATATATTTATGTTGTCAGAAGAATTTATCAGCCTTGTTCCTGGAGGAGGAAGGTAGACTTTTATTTATTCTTTCCTGAATCTCCCCGCTTATAAGCGCCTCTTAATGCCATCGCGTAACCACCAAATATGCTGCCGGGACGGGCCCCTCCGCCCAGCTGCTCAGGGAAGAACAGCCGGGGTTAATCTGCAGCCAACCTAGGAAGGAGACGCAGAGCGCCCGGCTCGTCTCTCCAGGTCCTCAGATCGGAGGACCAGAGCAGCCGAGGATGCTGGGAGCTCCAGGCCCGCCGGAGGGCCACCCTCGCTGCCGTCCCAGCAGAAATCCCGCCTCCTCCTGGGCACCGGCCCACCTTCGCACAGGTTGGCCGGCAGGGAAGCGCGGCGAGCCGTTTCCCTGGCCGGCGGCAGCCGAGTTCCAGCACAGCTGCTCAGCCTCCCAGCAGGCACCGCGATGCCTGGAGGGCGCTGAACTCCGGCTGCCAGGCCCCGAGCCCACCCAGAGGGGCTGGCACGGACGGCGGCGGCGGCCAGCTCCCTCCGGGTGCCGGGAAGCAACAGCTGCGGAGGACCGGAGCGCAGCCAGCCTTGTAGCCGGGCAGTGGCGGCCCCGGCGCGGAAGCTTCGCGGAGGAGCGGGCTGGCCCTGTGCCGGCGGACCGGAGGAACGGGCGGAGGTACGGCGCCTTGACCGAGGCCGCCTCCGGGGCGAGCGTAGCTCTCTCGGGTCCGCTCCCGGGACAGCAACGCTCCCGGGGGGGGCGCCGCAGACCCGCTCGGGGGCTTCGGCCAAATCGCAGCGGTGGGGGCAGCGGGAGGCCTTAGCGGGAGGCGCCGAACGCTCCCTGGCCCACGACTGCGTCTCCGGTACGGCGCCGGACGGAGTTGGCTGACTATCGGAGGAGACGAGCGCAGCCGCCCCCAGCCTGTCGTGGTTGTGGGCGCACACGTGGGAACGAGGGCACCCGCATCTGCTCCCGACCTGGGTCCGGCAGCCTCTCCGCGCCTGCCGGGCATCGTCGCAAGGGGGCAGCATAGCAGCAGCAGCAGCTGCAGAAGCGACCACCGCCGGCTGCCGCCCCGCCCTCCCAAAGGCCCCGCGCCGAGCATGCGGGACTGCTCCTGCCGGCCGCGAGGGGGAGCGTTTGCGCCATGCCGCTGGCGGGGCGGCAACGAGCGGGCCCCGGACCCTGGATGGGCACCGCGATTATGCCGGGCCGCCCGCGGCGTCGTTTAGCTCAGGCGGGGCGCGGGGCGGTGCTCCGGCGGGGCCCGGGAACCTGGATGGGCGGTGCGCGCGTGCAGCGCCCCTAGGGGCGGGTTGTGCGGCAGGCAGGTTCCCGGGCGCAGCCCGGCCCCGCTCTCTGGCGCTTCGCCTCACAGGAAAGATGGCGCACAGCGGTCGGTGGCGCTTCCCGGCCCGGCCCGGCAGCGGCGGTTGGGGTCGCCGCGGGCTGGGGGGCTGCCGCGTGCGGGTCCCGGCCCTGCGCAGCCTACGCGGGGAGTCTGCCGAGGAGCGGGCGACGAGCGGCGGCGGCGGAGGAGCGGCGGCGGCGGCGCTGGCGGGAAGCGGAGGGGGCGGGGCGGGCGGCCCCTCCTCGGCCGCCGCCCCCTCGTCGCAGCCCGCCGCCCCACTCCCGGCCAGCACGGGGGTGGCGCCCGGCTTCGACGCGGCGCTCCAGGTCTCGGCCGCTATCGGCATCAACTTGCGCCGGTTCCGGGCGGCCTGCGGGGCCGAGGCCGGCAGCGGAGAGGTAAGGCGGGCGGGCGGGGCCACTCTCCCTGGCCGGGAGCCGCCCTCGTGCCGAGCCGACGCGTCCCCGGCGCGGGGAAGGGGCACGCCCCCTCCTCGCCTGCGCGGCCGCCGCCTCCGCCGCGGGAGCGAGCGGCGACGCGCCTCCTCGCGGCTCCAGTAGTCCCGGGAGACGCGGCAAGGCCGCCCTGGTTCTTCCCGCGTGGCCGCACGTGTAGCGGGCGGAGGGCAGCTGGGCAGCCTCGAGTTGATGTCCGGAGCCGCCAGGGGGTCTGCCGGTGAGTCGCGGCGCCAGCTTCCCGCGTGCCCGGCCGCCCCGCTTCACGAGCCGCTGCGCTCCCTTTCTGGCCAAGCTCCTCGAGGCGGCGGGCAGAATTGCAGGGGCGTCTTCGCCCTGGATGGCCTCGCGCGGCCGGTTAAGGCTACCCAAAGCCAGGCGGAGTTTTCTCCACATTCCGGGGGCTCCTCAAGTGTGGCGGAATATGCTACTCTGAGCTTAAAGAAAAAGTAAAGCCTCTCCTCTTTCTTTATTAAGAGATGTACTAAACCAGTGGAGCCCTGCAACATTTCTTTAATGGAAAGTTGTAAACTAATAGTTTAAATATAGAAGACAGGTGACTCCATTGAGTGCTCCTTTCCTATTTTCTTTATTAATGTTATGTTTTGCAATGTACCATGGCAGTCAGTCTCTCCCCCCCCCCCGTGTATTACTGATATCTGTCTTTATAAAACCTCATCCTTTCAAAAGTGACTACAGATTTCAGTGCAAGACTGCCTAGTTCCATTCAGATTCTGTGCTGGATGAAAAACGATGTAGCCTTTTTTTTCTCTTAATTTCCAAACTTGGAAGTTTTCCCCTTCAAATCCTTGTTTCACTTTCCCTCATGCTTGTTATCCAGTGACCAAAGCATTTGATGTAGATCAGTGGTTCTCAACCTGTGGGTCGGGACCCCATTTGGGGTCGAACGACCATTTCACGGGGGTCGCCAAACAACACAGTCCGCCATTTTCCCCCCTTTTCCTTAGCTGTGCTACTCCCTTTTATTCTATTGGCTTTTGAAAGCCAATAGAATAGACTCTCTTGAATAGAGTCTAATTCTATTGGCTTCCAAAAGCCAATAGGAATTGTCCAGGCTGTCTCTGCCCTGCTGAGCCCGCCAAAAGTCCCATTCTGCAAACGGTGCTGCACCAGTTGAGTAGTCCTCGACTTACGACTGGTTGAGTAGTCCTCGACTTATGACCAGTTGGGGGTCGCGGCATTAAAAAGGTTGAGAACCACTGATGTAGATGATCATGGCACATCCTACTCCCAAACTTATGCTTTTAGCATAGTGCTTCACACCAATTGAAATGGTATAGATTTTCTTGAAGTAATATTTTTTGCTCAATTTCCTTGAAAGTATTATAAGCTCTCTCACTAGATAATACTAAATGTGCTTTGTCAAGTCCTTATGAGTACAGTAATTTTAAAACTTACATTTGTCCAGTCCTCTCTCTTAGATGCTCAGGACAGTGAACTGGGGCTCATTTAATTCTTTACTGCATGACCAGTCAGAATGAGGAATAGTGCACTAAATCATTCAAGCTTCTGCCTATACCACACCTCCCTATGATCTGTCAGTGTCATTAAATGGGCTTAAACAGCCCATTCATTCTGTATTTCATAGGTGTAACTCTTGATCATGACTTACTAAAATGAGGGAAGGAGGCAAAGCTGGGGAACAAAACATATTTTATGTAAAAATATTTTCACTGCTCAAATTCAACAAAATTCCATGCATACATAGTAAAAACCTCCTATTTGCAGATGTAAATCATTTGAGAAGACCAGTGTTGTGGATGAAGGTGCTCTCTGAACTTGATTGTTTTCTTACAAATGGTTCATTAGTGAGTGAGGTTTGCATCTTGTTTACATAGTTTGAGAGGATGTGTTGTAGTCTTTTTCTTCCTAGGTTTTATGTCTTTTGAATGGTAGGTAAATATGGTTTATCTTCATATGTCTATGGATATCAAACTTCCAGGAGATCCTACTATTTTTGGACTGGGTTTACCTAAAACACTGTTAGTTTCCCAGTTAAAACTGGTTGAATCTGTCCATGAGATGGAGGAATTTTTGCCATGTCTTCTAACAGTAGTTAGTGTTCCTGGGTGCGCTTTGCTAGTCTGTGGAGTCCTTGATGCTCTTTGAGCTTGGCTGTTTGCTTGCACAGGTTTCAAAGCGGCTGTAACGGATCTTATGCACTACGTAGATGACTCTTTTTTCTTTTTGGGCTACTGAGTCTTTTGGTTTATTTAAGATGTTTCCGAAAGCTTTATTTATTTATTTATTTATTTAATGAGATTTATATACCGCTTTAAGTGCAAGCACTCTCTAAGCGGTGTACACCAGTAAGCGATGTATATATATATTTACATTGCCCCCAACAATCTGGGTCCTCATTTTACCTACCTCGGAAGGATGGAAGGCTGAGTCAACCTTGAGCCGGTGAGATTTTTGAACTGCTGACCTGCTGAACACAGTCAGCTAAAGTGGCCTGCAGTACTGCACTCTAACTGCTGCGCCACCTCGGCTCTTAGTTAGTGTGTGTTACCATAAAGCTGTGTGGTTATAATAGTCTGTTGATTGTTTCTGATATGTTTTTGATGTGTGCAAGTATTATACTTTTCATAGCTTTGTTGGTTGTCCTGTAGTATAATATCTGCAAGCAAATAACCAAGTTCAGAGAGCACCAAGGACTCCACCATTCAGCCCTGAACTACATATATACACTTCTATTAGAACAGTTCTTGGATAATGTATTACACTTGTTAATGGACACAGTTATTGCAAGCTGCAGTCAATCTGAGACAGGTTCCCAAGAGTGCCTGATCTCTGCAGATCTGTTAAACTGTTTTGCTTTCAGATACTACTGTCTCTAGAAGGTTTCCAGGATGCTTGAAGAATTATACTGTCATTAAACTGGACAGTCCTGTTTAAAATTCTGGCTGATCTTTAGAAAATTGCAGAAAAAAGCAGAGCTCAGGTTCCGTTATTTTCTTTGGAGCTTTGGATCAGGGCTTTTCAACCTTTTCACCCATTGTACCATTTTTAGGATATGGCAATATCCGAGTACCACCAGTCGCCTAGCAAGGTGTCAAAAACTTGATGACCAAAAAAAAAAAAAAAAGGAAAAAAGTGGTAAAGTACAGGTAGTCCTCGACTTACAACAGTTTGCCTAGTGACTGTTCGAAGTTACAATGGCACTGAAAAAAGTGTCCCCCAAGGCACAGCCAAGCAAGACGCCTGCCTGCCTGCCTGGCATCACTCTCATTCCCCTCCCCCACTACCACATTTCTAGGATGGTCACGTACCACCTGCCAGGTGCCAATGTACCACAGGTGATACCCGTACCACTGGATGAAAAGCCCTGCTTTTGGATGATGAAACTCTTGGATAGGCAAATAGCCCATTTTGGGACTTATTCTAGGCACTAGTTGCAAAATAGTTTTTTTCCTAGTTGGTGCACTGCATTTTGTATATCTTATTGTTATTGTACTGTTACTTTCTTTGAATTATTTAAGCAAGGCATGGGACATACATAGAATTAGTTGGTGAAAGGTTTGATATGTTCAATATAAGGACCTTGAAGATAAGCCCCCCCCAGTGATTTGCTGTGTTAATTTTCTTAAACATTTTGTTCACATGATTGGTATGCTAATAAACTTCAATATTAAAAGCAGTATCTAGTGGCTCACAGAAACACCTGCTTATCCAATTTTGATAAATGAATTTTATCTTTCTTTTTTACTTCAACTACATTTTTGGAGACTGACTTACAATATTGATATCATAACATTAAAACATGAAGCCATCTATTTGCTTTTCTGTGTGATGGAATCTAGCTAATAGATGGGAAGTAGTCTTACAACCAGTTTGATGGTGTAGTTAAAGATACTTGGCTAGAAAATGGGGTGTATTAAAGTGTGGCAAGCTGGCATGAGTTCCAGAAATGTAAAAGTGTGAATCCAGACTTTTGCAGTCTTATCTGACAAACAGAAGTTGGCTAATAAAACTCAGGATGCACTACAAGATAAAGTAGGTGGAGAATGGCTTGTCTTAATGTTTGAGACATTCATTGCTTAAATTGCAATCTGAATCTATGTTTTGGGATTAAATGTAGTCCCCTTCTTCACACCATGCACTGAATTTCTGAACTTCAACTGGTAATTTAAAAATGGCTCTAGAACAGGGGTATTAAACTGCTGGTCCGCCAGCCGGATGCATCATGCCGAAACCGCACCCACCCCATTGCCAGCAAAGGAAAGATACGGCGCAACATGTCATGTGACGTTGCAAGTTTGACACCCCTGCCCTAGAATGTCATTTGGAATGCTTCTGTTACAACCATTCCCCTTTTTGTTTAGATTAGCGGTTCTCAACCTATGGGTCGCGACCCCATTTGGGGTCAATCGACCATTTTTCAGGGGTCGCCAAAGAAGGCGATCCGCCATTTTCTCCCCTCAGGGGGCGGCGCCGCACATGCGCGCCGCGCATGGGGGGCCTGCCCCCATGCGCGCGGTGCCGTGCATGCGCAGAACGTTTGTGTGACGGGGGTCGCCATCACACAAACGTTGAGAACCGCTGGTTTAGATCAACTTTAGTATGATGCTATGTGATGGGAGCTGATTCTTAACTGAGGAAGGATAAGGCAGGCCATGGGAGATTGGTGCTGTTGTATGGACAATTCTGCCTAATCTTTTTTGTTTTCTCAGCGGCTTGCCTGCTGTATTTATACGCTGAGGAATCCAACTTGCAATGGCCAGTAAAGGTGGCAGCACCTTCCCAGTTTTCACTCTCTGCAGGGAGTATAAAATTGAAGACTTCTAAGGTTCTGTTTGAAACTTAAGCAGGGAAGTCAGTTTATTCTTACTTTTCTTCACTGCTCTTCTGTTTAGTGGAATTCTGGCTTCGAAGAACCAAAGATGCTATAATATTTTCTTGGCTCTAGAGAAACCCAATAC